CACTTATATTGGCAACTCTAGTGTCATTTTGCTCAAGCTCGGCTCGCAAGGATAACACCTTCGTTTGAAGATCCTCGCATTCTGCTGCAACCCCTTTGCCCACCTTGAGCTCCTCGTCTTTGGCCCTAAGCAACCCCTCAAGCTCGCTACATCTGTGGATAGACTACATGAGATCCTCGTCCTTCATCTCTAACTCCTCCTTGAGGGATTGAGTTTTATTGCCCCCTAAGCTGCGCGTGCATCTCACAGCACCTGTTGCGACACCGGCGGTACTTCGCGGCCATTTATCGAAAGACATCGGCTCGCGTCTCAGCCCGACGAGCACTCTCGATCCCCAGCATGTAAGTCTAAGGAGGAAAAAGGAAGAATCAGCGAAATCAAATGGCACAAAACAAAGAAAAAAGCAAAAGGAAACTCACCCTCAAGGCCATCCCAGCCACACCATGCGAAAAACCAGAGTCTCTGATCTCCCGAAGAGATCTACTTTCGGCGGCGGAGCACAGAAGTTCAAATTGGGGCACCAAGTCCACCGTGTCCTCCAACAGGTTAAAATCTGACGGAATTTCGAGCACACGGGAAGGGACTTCCGCTCTCACGTTAACCCTGGTAAAACCTTCCTCGAACATCCTCATGTCCTCAAGATCGATATCAGAATCAGATTCATAATCAGCTACCACTACGTCCTTCAACCTCTCATTAGCCGAAGAGGGGGTATGGGCCTGCCGAGACGCCGATGGACCACTAGAAACAATTGGAGCGGCCTCCGAACTATGTCCCCTGCCATGACAGCTCTTCTATGTTCGAGACGGGCATCGCCTCCACACCTAGGCCGCTATCACCGCCAGCTTCAGATATCGCCGAAACAGGGTCGCCCCTCGAGGGCGTTTCAACCAAAGATGCCCCTCTGACATTAACTTCCGCCTCATTGACGGGACTTCTTTGCCACCACCATGAGAAGGTTCATCCGCTGAATGGATTGCGGGAACCGGAGTGTCCGACCTAAGAGCAACCTCCGAACGAATAGGCTCGGTCGCGGATGCGGTCCGCCGAACAACCAAACTTTGGACGCCCTCATCCACAGTTACCCTTGGTACAGGCCAGGCAGAGGAAATCGGTTGACGAAAAGCAAGGACAGGATCCCTTGCCCTTCTCGCTCCTCTCCGACCTGCCAATGAGAAATTCGACCAAACGAAGATATAAGGTAAGAAAAAGACGGAGCAAAGAACAAAGCAACTAAGACCGAAATAAGCCGACTCACTAGTGGAAGGTTTGCGCCCAAACCTCTCGTGGAAGGGCATCCATTCGCGGATCCCTATCGTGTGGGGAAGAATCGAGCTCACCCATTCGCGAATATTGGCAACTTGCGGAGGAGGTACCCTCTCGGCTGCGGAAATATAAAACACTCGACGGTCACTAAAGGGAGACGGCCAACAGCCATTTTCAAAAAATAATATAATATAATTAAAGGAAAGGAAGACCTATGGGCAAAATTCCACGCCTCAGGAAACCCTGCACGGTACGATACCACGTGCTCTGTTCGGACGTAGAAGAAGTTCTCCCAAACGTGGCGGTTGGCCTTGTTATCCATCTTTACCACCAAACCCTTGGTTCCTCGGTGACGAAGGTGAATCATTGTGACCCTATAAAAATGGGGGGCGAAGAGGTGAAGCATGTGTTGTAGAGAAATTCCTCGATCGGCCAGCTCCGCGTACCTGATAAGCATAAGGAAGAGCTTGTATACGTACGGAGAGAGTTGAGCCGGACACGTCTCGTAGAAGCGGCAGAATTCCATTGCCAAGGAGGGAAGGGGAAGCGTGTACCAAATGACAAATGGATATGCGTAAAACGCACAGTAGCCCGGGCGGTGTATATGCATTATGTCACGACCCGCCGGAACTAGTTCAATGTGATCAGGGATTCTCCATTTGGCTTTGAACGTCGTGAGGGCCGCAGCATCCATCGTAAAAATAACAGGTTTCGGCTCATCCCCAGCAGGGCTATTGAAGTCAGTCCTTGCCTTCCCTGGACCTCATCTACAGTCGGAAAACTCTCATCCTCCGCCAGACCCACTCCCTCTTCGAGTAGGGGTATATCGTTTTTCGGCACCGGAGCACCAACGACTCGATCAAGGTTAGAAGAAGCACTAGCCATCGCTTTGGGTGACTGTATAGGTCATGAGTGTAAAGAAATGAGGGTAACAGCCACGAGGATTGTTGGTAGAAAAAGAAATACGAAGAACTGAAGAAGAAGAAGAAGAAAGAATGACTTAAGATTGTCTTGTGAACGATTGGTAAACACTACATTCGAATGGGAAACTTTTCCCTATTTATAGAGATATGAATATGCTGGTTTGCGAAACCAAGCGCCGCCTTTTATCAAAAAAAAAATAACGAAAAGGGCACGGGAAATGACGCAATGCACAGAGAACATGTGCCATAATGACGCCTGACGAATTTAATGTCATTTCGAACTGACACGGTGGTCTGATAAAGCACTCGAAACGTCACATCATCATCTCGCTAAGAGGCACTCGCCCATCGCCCAAAACTCTCAGATTTCTCAAAAGGTTCTTATTGACGAGTTCTGCCCATCGAGTTCGCCCAAAGACGACCTCAATGGGCGGAGGGACTAACTGTATGGGTCGAATCCTGGCCACACGAGAATCGGCACAAAAAGGAATGGCGAGGAGTCGATTAAGCCGTGATTGTATCCATGAGGCACCATAACGATGAGCATCTCGGCCACGGCCGAGGTCAAACCATTAGAAAGCCTGTATGGCGAATTACACGCCATGGAACTTGGGGAGGTCGACCTAAAGTGCAATTGGCAGATTAGGGTATCCTGGCCAAGGACCGTTGGGTAAAGGGGAATACCTATTATATATATACTAGGTAAGAGAATAAGAAAGGGGGACTTTTTTCTTCCCCTCTTAACACTGAAGAACAGGAGAATCTTTCTCAAGAAAATCAAGAGAAGGTTTAGAACTTGGCTGCTGATCTTTGTGATCATCATTACGGAATCAATAAAGATAGATCTCGTAGTCGTTAATGGTACATCTTCTTTTTCTTCTTTATTTTACATTACGGAGTAGTAGCATCAAGAATGTAAGCCCGTCATATATATATTTGATATCTTTTATAATCTTAAAGAGCTCATGAGCTTAACCATATCCTATTTTTCCCACTTAATATCCTTGGATCTAGAGTTAATTATCCTTGGCTAGGATTTATCCCCTATTTTCTTATTAATCCGTTGTAAGAAAAGGTTTAACACTTTTTTGGTAAAACACATTCCAATATATTTGTAGCATGCTTTCTTTTTTAGTCTGCATCAAAAAGATTGTCAGTTTACTCTTAATGAGATTATGGCTTATTTTAAATCACAAACTTCAATTCTTTATTTTTGTGTTAAACATCGTACTCAGTCAAATACTGTCGTATAAATTGAAAAGAAGGGAGTATATAACCAGAAAAGGGATCATTTCTATTCAATTAATACAGTACAATTTTTCAACGAAAGGGATTTACAAACACACTGTCGTTTCTTATGATGTTTTCTAGAGTTACATCTTGAGAGAGACTCAAATTAAATGCTATAGAAGAAACTAAGTACTGCATACTAAGAAGTAGTAGTAGTACTAGGGGGGAAGAAAGTAGTTAATTTGTCAGAAAAATGGGAAGAGAGGCGTGAGAGTAGCTCAAGGCAGCTTGTCTATTTTTTGGCCTTTAGGGGACCATACACTTCCTTAGACTGTGACCTTTGATAAAAATCCTAATTTTCTTACACTCCTAATTAACTTTATAATGATAATGTGAAAGAATTTTGCACAAATGAATCACTAAGAGTAACTACACATAATTGCCTATAATTAAAATTAATAGATTTATACATTAATATGAAAAATAAGGCAAATAATATGGTATAACAAATTATGTTACATTAATAGTATAAAGTTATTTATATTGTCAGTGTCAAAGTTAAATCGAACTTTTTATACTATTTAAAAACCGTAGTAACCCAGTTGGTTAACTACCCAAATTCTCACCTTGTTAGTTCGAGTTTGATTCCATACCTTGTAATTTCCTCTCCATTTTCCCTTCTCTTACTCCCAATATATAATAATACTTCTTTTGGTCTTTTTTTTGTTGTCATGGTTACTAAAAATAATGATCCAAAAAATCTATCATTTTAGAAATTTAAATTTTCTAATAAATGTTGTGAGAGATTAATATAGTAAAAGCAAAAGTAGTAATAAATTAAGGTCAAAGAATAAAGAAGCATCATTTAGTCAAATTATCTTTTTTAATTATTTTTTTAAGGAGCATACAAAAGCCAGAAATGAAAAGTAAAAGGGATATGAAGGAGTAAATAAATAAAAAACTTTTTTACCACTTCACTAAATGAAGTGAACTTTATTAGTACTTCATAAGGATTAAGTGATCTCAAATTACACCTATAGTTAATGAACACATATTTTAAATATGGTTCTTTAAATATATCATTAGAGTGTCCTTGTTGAAATTTAACACTAATAAAAACAACAATTAATTAGTGCACACTAGTATCCATCTACTCCACTCCACCCCCCACCCCCCAAAAAAAAACCAAAGAGGATGTCCTATTTATGAGTTGCTCCCAAAAGTGAAGCATAAAACTTCACAACTAATTCTTACCCTCCCAATCCATCTCTTTCACATATTGACACAATGCTAAGTACTGACTGATTCTATCCACAAATGTAGTAAACTCTCCCTACAACATCTTCTTCTCATTTTTCACTTTTGTTTCTTCAAAACAAACCAAGAAAGTTTTCATACTTTTTCAAAAGGGCAAACCCTAATTAACCCCTTTAATTAATTTAAGGTGGTCCATAGTCTTGAATAGTACTGGTCCAATACTAGATAAAGAAAGATTTGTGTCAATATATTAAGGGGTTAGAATTTGGGTGTTTTCTTGGATCTTTGCCTTGTTTAGAAGGAAAAAAGAAAGAGTCCAAAAATATGGACTGGAATGGGAATTTTAGACCCTTTGTTTCTCGACCTACTCCTCCTGATAATTCTTTCAATTTCCTCTACAGCTACAATTATGATCAATATCCAGGTAAAGATATACTGTATTTGTTGTTGTTGTTGTTGTTATTCTCAGAAGCAATCATGTTAGTCTTCATTGATGTTTATTGTGTTTTACATGATTTCCACATTTATTCTAATCATTATTTTGTCCCATTTCTTCATAGGGTTCTTTTCATGATTTGATCTTGAAGTATGTTATCTTAATATAGATAATTGCCTTTCTATTTTGGTCTTTAAGGGATTTCCTTTTTAGCCTCGCTCCTGGATAAAGAAGTACTATTCAAAGAATAGATGAGTGAGCTAAAATAAAAAAAATATTCTTGAATTTACACTAAGTTTAAAATGGCAGAATTATGAAGTTTTCTTTTTTCCATTGATACCTTTAATAATTGCTGACCTTTCTCAGTTTCCTAAAGAAAGTAAAAACCAAGTGTTAGTTACAAACTTTGTCAGCCTGATCACTGCCCATTTTATCTCACAACCATATATTTTGAGCGGATGGTCTACCGGAAACAGCCTCTCTATCTTCACAAGGTAGAGGCAAGATCCGGCATACATACTTGTCCTCCCCAGCAGAGGCTGACCCGTGATTTGAAGGTTACAAATGCACTTTTGCATTCAACTAAAATTTGCTTGTATATATTATTATTTTTGAAAAGACATATACTGGTATACATGGAATTTTTGTCGAACTTTCCGAGTGCCGTCGGTGACCCCTCTCTTTACGATGTAGGTCCGTCTCTGCACCTCAGACCCCACTTGTGAAAATACACTCGGTATGTTGTTGTTCCATATCTTTACATGCTAATATAATCTTTGGTTTTTTTTTCCTTTTTTAAAGGTATGGAAATGAAGCATGCAATGCAAACACAAAATGGTGGAGTGCTCCCAACAATGGACAAACTGAACAACAACTTTGCTATGAATCAACTGGACAAGAAGAAAAGATTAACAAGTGAACAATTAGAGTCACTTGAAAACAGTTTTCAAGAAGAGATAAAACTTGATCCTGATAGGAAAATGAAACTAGCTAAAGAACTTGGGTTACAACCTCGTCAAATTGCTGTTTGGTTTCAAAATAGGAGAGCTAGATGGAAATCTAAGCAGCTCGAACGACTCTATGATTCTCTTAAACAAGACTATGATTTAGTTTCTAGGGAAAAACAGAAGCTTCAAAATGAGGTCAGTTTTGAGAAATTCTCTCTTCACTTTCTTGCATCCATGCAATTCATGCAAAACTTTAAAAAAAAAGTTGTATGTTTTTTATTGTCAGATGAATTGTGTGTGACCGTTTTATCTAAAAGTATAAAGAACAAATTAAGTACGTGTTCTCTTGTGGGTGAGCGTGACTCTTTTTCTTGAGCCAAGTACATAAAGATTCTTTTGAGAAAATGACATTATATAGCCGCTCTCAAAATAATAGCCGAAAAAATATTTGTATATATATATATATATATATATATATATATATATATATATATATATGATGTATGCTATATACATAAAGTATACAAATGTTATACACTATTTCGACTACCAAATATAAATAGTTTGATAATGTGATAATACCCCAATTTTTTTTGATAATGGGGTGACAGTGAGATTAGAACTCAGAATTTCTACTTTGATACTATAATATGAACAGTACGATTATCTCATCTAAAAAATTAAGTTGGAAAAGAGAACATATATTAATTAAGTACTTAATTATGTCTTCAATACTTCTTATATCTCATTCTTTGAAAATTATTTTCCTATGTGAGTCACCCTAAACCTATACTTTGGTGTTTCTTTGTGATGTTAATGTTTTTTTAAATCAATATCTAGTTTATGTAGTCACCTAAATTAACTTTCCTCTGATAATGGGAAAACAGAAGATGGTAATGGAAAACAACGGTGGCTTAAAATATTCAAACTTTACATAAATTACCAATAAAATCTGCTGTTTATTTTTCCTAGCTGGTATGTATATACACTTATCATACATGTTTATATACATATTATACATAGATCATACATATATTATATATCTATCAATTATTTTTAATTTAAGCGATTGAATGAACAACTACTTAATCTTTAAAATATTATAGATAGTAAGATTGTTCCCAAATTTAAAGCTAGAAAGAAATACTAAAAAAATGACTGGGGTTTTAGATACCTATGTCTAATGATAATATAGTCCTCAACGAATCCTTGTCTTTTTAAGAAAATAACCTATTTTTATGAAACTTAGAATAATAGTTGCTATTTGAGGAAAAACAACTATTTTAGAATAATATGGCGTCATTATTCGTTAGGCTCGTCATATTTGGAGCCATAACTATGGAGACAACTTTAACTTCAGTTGTCCCCATCATTATAAAGCAAGGTCGGCTTAATTTAATGCAAATAAATAAATTTAAAAAAAAAATTGACTCTTCTTATACCTTGTAATAAAAATTGAAATTGACGTTTCATACAACATTGTCCCTCTTCTTCCTTTCCTTTCCTTTTCTTTTTGAGTTTTCCTTTTAATTTAATTATCCTCTCTCATGCAGTTAGAATTTTGTCCATATGTCTGTTTCCTTTTTTTCACTAATTATACACACGGATAATGTAAAGATTTTTTAACATGTCGTAGCAGATAATCTGTCTTATCTTGGAATAACGGTAAAGTTGTCTCCGTATGACCTAAAAACTAAAAGGTCACAGATTCGAGCCGTGGAAGCAGCCACTAATGCTTGCACTAGGGTAGCTTGTCTTATCTTGGAGCAACGGTAAAGTTGTTTCCGTGTGACCTAAACGCTAAAGGTCACGGGTTCGATCCGTGGAGCAGCCAATAATGCTTGCATTAGGGTAACCTGTCTACATCACATCCCTAGGGGGTGTCGCCCTTTCCCGCACCCTGCATGAATGCAAAATACTTTGTGCCCGGGTTGTCCTTTTTTTTAAAATCTTTTAGATGATCTGATAGTGTAATAATTTTTTTACACATTAACAAAGAGTTAAACTCTTGTTTTTGTGATAGGTGTTGGCATTAAGAGCAATATTGAAGGAACAAGCTACAAAGAAACAAGTGAATTCCACAGTATACACTAAAATATCAGGTGAAGAGACAGTGGAAAGCACATCAATGCCAAGTTCAAACAAGACAAGAGGAATTACTACAAGTAACCATCAGAATAATAATAATAATAATGATATGGCTGAATGTAGCTATGTTTTCAACGTTAATAATGTAGAAGGGTTTAATCCAGTTATGCCACCATATTGGGTTTAATTAGCACTAATAATTAGTGTTTCTTTTTCCAGGCACTAACTAAGTTTGATTAGAAGATAGGTAGTTAGCTGGTATTTGTTATAATTAAGATTAGTACTTTAGTAGTAAGTGGTTCTTTTGATTAGAACCAGACTCTTGTCAGTATTAGTGTAATTGTAAGGTAGTATTGTACTATTATTTGTTGTATTGATATTAATGTCATTAGTTATAATACTTTACAACTTTTTATCATGCGTGTCAAGCGCCTCAATCAGAGGTGGACCTGGGATTTGAAGGTCGGTTGTGCACTTTTGGGTTCAACCAAAATGTGTAAGGTATTTCGCTATCATCATATATAATGCATGCTTGCTTGAAGTCGAGGGTCTATCGGAAACGGCCTCTTTACCTGCAGAGGGTAGGAGTGAGGTCTGTGTACCAGAGGCGGATCCAGGATTTGAAGGTCGGGGTGTACTTTTGGATTCAACCAAAATTTACTATTTTTTGCATATAGGGTATCCACTACTAATATATCACTATTTTCTAAAGACAGATACATGTATATATGAAATTTTTGTCGAACTTTACGGGTGATGGTGACCCCTTTCGGTATAGCATATGTCCGCCTCTGGTCTCAATGGAGGTATAAATTTGAATTACGAATTTAAACCAATGTGATTTAAAGTACAGTCATTGCTATTTCTAAATATATAATTTTTATTTTCGAAAAAAAGATTCATTAACCAGTGTGTGAATACACACTGAAAATTAATATCTTGCCCATCATATAGTACTCTGAATCATGTCATCTCTTTGGAAAGAGCAGAGCAGCTGATAAATATTAGACAGTAGTTTACGGTATTGGGTGATATAATGATAAAATACTAACAATAAAGATATAAAAGGAAACTATTTAAACCATACGTGAATTAGATTCTATCCCCTTTCCTTTTTTGTTTAGTTAAACGATTATTCTTTTTCACTTAGATTCTAAACAAAGGAAATTCACAGTTCCCAGCATGCTTTTTTCCCTTGTTTTTATTTTTTTGAATGGTCATGGCTAAATTCTAGTTTCTCACTGGAAATGGACGAGTTGGATCAAATTTGGGCAAGTTAAACAAGTCATATCAATTAGTAACAGGTTACAATAGGGTTGTGCTAATTTGGTAAATACCGAATTATCGTATCAAAATTGAATTTTTTTTTTATTTGGTATTCGGTATGGTATTTGGTTTAAGTTTAAAAAAAATTGGTATTAGATATGGTATTTGATATTTTAAAATAAAATACCAAAATACCGATACCGTACCGAAATATATATAATATTACACAATACACATATTATTAGTTATAACATAAATATAAGAAATTCAAAATTTTATTTTCCTTTATTCTCTAAGTTCATCAATTAACTCTAAGCAAGTAACAAGACATTTCTAATGATCAAATTTATTCTTTTATGTATAGCTCTCTCTGGGTTGGTATTTGCTGGTTTGGACAAAACTTTTGTCAACAAACGTTTTTAGTTTTGTACTTTCGAGTACTTTAATTAAGAATATTACCTTCTATGACTCTATGCACTAGTTAGTATTCAAACCGAATAAGTCGAAGTTACCGAACCGAATAAATCGAAACCGAAAGGAGAAAAATCGAACCATACCGAATTTAATTAGGTACGGTATTGGTATAGCATTTTAAGAAACCGAATACCGAAAATACCGAACCGAAATATCTAAATACCGTACCGTACCGAACGATGAACACCCCTAGGTCACAACCCCCACAGCGCCAACTTTCCCTCCTAATCTGTTTGCAAAAAAAAAAAAAAAAAAAAAAAAAAAAAAAAAAAACTAATACATTTTTCCTTTTTTTTTTTTGCAAATTCTCACCCGGTGTACGATACCCACATTGGGGCCCGACTATATCCGAATTCACAGGGAAAGTCCCACATTAAGGGATAAAACACTCCCTAACAAAGGCAACTTCGTACCCAAAGCTCGAACCCGAGATCTCCGGTTAAGGATGAAGGATTACTTACCACTCCACCATAACTCTTGTTGTTAATTTATTTTTCTTTAATTATTAGCTTAAGTTCAGCAATATTTACATAATCCTCAATCTCCAAGTTCAATATTTTACGTTTGATTTGGATTGTATTTTGACCAATTGGGTTCCGTATTAACTCAATAGTGTGATCGGTTATTTTGAGTTCATCTTCTTCGATATTTTATGTTTGATTTGGATTGTATTTTGACTAATTGGGTTATATATTGGACCCGTTTTAACTCAATAGTTTGATTGGTTATTTTGAGTTCATCTTCTACATGTCGTATCAACAAACAGATCATAATTCAAGCGCGGACCAGACTACAAAATTTACTAAAAGAGTGGCTGGTTGAAGGGAAGCCAGAAAATCCAGGGAATCGACGTTCCCCCAAACCATTGTATGCAGCTTTACCTTACATTTCTAGAATTATTGTATGTCGCCTTAGCCTATATTTCTGCAAGAATCCGTTTCCACAACTTAAAACTCGTGACCTCCTAATCACCAGTGACACCAAGACACCCCTTCCGTATGCGAAATTGTACTGTCTTAAAACTAAGTACAAACTAACATGTGCATTTTGACATTACAAACTTGTGGATCAAAGGGCAAATTTTAGTGAAGACTTAATTGGAAGTAGCTTAGGTGCAAGGAAGATAATTCTCATAATGAAACAAGAGTAATTAATCTGCATATTCGAAACAAGACCAAAATTCAGAAATATATTGTTTTAACTGCTGATCTGCAGTTGGATAAAAAACTTACATTCAATCAAGATGCAAAAACCACTCTAGTACTACTTCGAAAACAAACATAAACAATAGCTTAACGTTTTCCGCCGCCGCCGCCAAGCTTAGGGCCTTTTCCTGCAGCTCCCTTTGACACATTACCTTTCCCTCCACCTTTCTGTGACTTTGCCATTACCTCTGCTTTCTTAGCCTTCTTTTCATCCTTTGTCTTCTTGATTCTTTCCTTGATTTCACTGCAGAAACCCAACCAAATATTAATCACTCCATCTTCGACAAATACAACATATATAGTCACCTTTTATAGTAAATGCATGAGCTCTGTGGATACATACCGAAGAGCAGCCTCCCTAGCAGCATCTCGAACTTCTGGTCTTTCAGTTCTCTTCTTCTGGATTACCTCCAAGGTTGCACCCACAATGGACCTAGAGTAAGGCTTCTTTGTGGCGCGTCTCCTCTTCTTGACAGCTTCTTGTGCAATATCCTAATGTTATCAAACACAAAAAATAAGGGATTTTTTTATTTTTGGCCCAATGGCCCAAAATAATTACAGGCGACAGCCCAAATATACGGAACATATAACACTGATTATGTATATGATATGTATACTATATGTAGTTTATACGTATATTTATACTTAATATACAAAACATATACATTCGCCGGCTATTTATTTTGGGCAGCCCAAAATGTAACTGTTCCAATGCACAAATTTAATTTCGCGAAGTACCCATGAAATGGAAAAAGGTAAAACCAATTCATCTGTATATCCAAGTTTTCTAAATAAACACTTTGTAATATTTAAAGACAAAGTGTATCCCAAGGGTAAAACTTTACATCACAAAGCTTTATCCTTCAATGTTGGAATGTTAGTGTTAAACTTCAAAGCAAAAAACAGAATGTTAAGTTCAGAAATTTAACTTGTGGATGCTTTTATTCTGACAGACTCACCTTCTTGTGCTGCTTCCTGTACATGGCTGTCCATGTAAGCTTGGAAGGCTTCAGACGGTTGTGGAAGTACCGCTTGCATTTTGAATTGAGAAATAGGAACACCTACGACAACCAGAAAATACTAAGCGAGAACGGACAAGAAAGCATGACTCTGCACCCTCTTACCAATAAGTACACAAATAACTTTAATTACCATCAGCTAAGAAATGGCTTTTAGTATGTTACCTGAGAATCTGAACGAATAAATCTGATGCCCCTCCCTGGGTATATCTTGCCACCGCTGAAACGGCAGAGCTCTGTCCTGCAAGGGAAGTAAGAAAAAAGCTAATGAATACTCGATTTCAAGTGCTATAGCCTATAAGTAACCAAGGCAAAACCAAATGTAAAGCATGTCTACAATAACATACTCCCTCTGACACAATTTAGGTGACACTTCTTTATTTTTCGTCAGTCCCAAAAAGATTAAGACCTTTATATATGTAGTAACAATTGAACTTTAAATTACCCTTTTTATCCTTAATAAAATGATTTCTAGCCACACAAAATTTCATGGTTTGTTTTAGACAACAAGTTTCAAAAGTCTTCTTTTATTTCTTAAACTCCATGCCAAGTCAAACACCTTCAAATAAATTAGGGCGGAGAAGTAACAAAGAGGAGGTAACTCCCCTAATAGAGCCAAATGGCAATTCACATTCTGTTATTATAAAACACATTTGATGTGATAGTACAGTTGAAGCATTTCAAAATCAGCCAACCAAATAACTCCCTGTATAACAGTTCACAAATTCTCCAGGCTTTACACAACCAGCAAAATTCATCAGAAGTAATGTCTATTTTCCAGAAAAAATTGTCACCTCGAATCAGTTCAGTTATACCAATTTGGTATCAAAAAATTTCGCACAACTTACAGGGATAATACTAAAGACAAGAAATGCAAACTCCACGAGCAGTGGCGAAGCCACATAGCTCCAAGGGCACACACTGTTTAGATAGGTAAATCTAATTTTTTATGTATATATATTATGAATTAAATCCTCTTGACTTCTTCGTGTATTTATTTATTTCTAAAGATTTACGTGAAAATTCTGGCTCCGCTACATACGACAAGCCACTACAAACATCCGCTTCACATACATCATCGTGAAGTTTCTTTCTTTAAAATAACACTAGAGGTCATACTAAACTCCAGGTTACCTCCTAAAGTATCCAAACCATTGGAAATTCTGGCTCCGCTACATACAACAAGCCACTACAAACATCCGCTTCACATACATCGTCGTGAAGTTTCTTTCAATAAAATAACAGTAGAGGTCATACTAAACTACAGGCTACCTCCTAAAGTATCCAAACCATTGGAATATAACATTCAATGGTTAATCAAATTAACCAACACATCAATCAGAGCAAAAAGATCCAAAAACGTTTTGCATTAATCAATGGGTTAACTGTTGTATATCCAATTTATCTCTTCTAGCAGTCTATATGAAATGACATAACCTATACAGTAACACCTCCCAATGCACTCCTCTTTTCACCTCTCTTCTGCCACACTAATCATACATTAATAAATCGAAATAATTAAAACATAATTAACCAAACAAAAGTGTAGCAACATTTTACCAATAAATGATTTACAAGAAAACCTTTTTCCCCTTAAAATAGACTGCAATCTACATTACACGTGACCATACATCTAGCAAAAAAAATGCCAAAAACAGAAAAGAATTGACTTTTAAGCATTTCCCACATAACTAGAGTTCAAATCAGCAAAATAAAAAACATAAGCATTAATGTTGGGACACTTCTGATAAATTTTATGCAATAAAGTTATCAAATGGGTTCTAAATACGAGGAATTACACAACGTTTGCTGGTACATAAGATGCAAATAGAGATAGAGAAGAGATTAAGGGTTGAGGGTTTACTTGAGAACCATTGTTGATGCTGCTGTGAGCTCCCTCCCTCAGGTGCGGTACCTCAATCAATGAAGAAGAGAAAACCCTAGTGATACTATCCTTATATTGGAATTTGTGGTTAGGTTTTTATAGGCCCAAAAGAATATCAGATCTACCACTGGGCCGAATTGATGTGGACCTCTATATGGGCTTGTGTAAGAGAAATTTGGGGTAAGTGCACGGTTAGCCACAAGTAACATATGTATTTACTTTTAAGCCACTTTTTAAAATGTCTTTAGTATTTAGCCACTGCTTTAATAAACTTTAACTGCCTGGACGAAAATACCCTTCTGCTCATGTCCTTAACTTTTGAACTTAACTTCAGGACTTCAGGACTACATGTCCTTAACTTTTGAACTTGGAACTCTAAGTTCACGACTTCAGGACTATATGTCCTTAACTTCAGGACTACATGTCCTTAACTTTTGCACTTAACTTCAAGACTTCAGGACTACATGTCCTTAACTTTTGCACTTAACTTCAGGACTTCAGGACTACATGTCCTTAACTTTTGAACTTGTAACTGTAAGTTCAGGACCTATTGTCCTTAGCTTTTGGGCTTCTTAGCCTAAGTTTAGGACCTATTGTCCTTAAATTTTGAGCTTGTTAGTCTAAGTTCAGGACTTCAGGACCTATTGTCCTTAACTTTTGAACTTGTAACTGTAAGTTCAGGACCTATTGCCCTTAACTTTTGAGCTTGTTAGTCTAAATTCAGGACCAAGTGTCCTTAACTTTTGAACTTGTAATTCTAAGTTCAGGACCAAGTGTCCTTAACTTTTGAACTTGGAACTCGAAGTTTAGGACCAAGTGTTCTTAACTTTTGAACTTGTAACTGTAAGTTCAGGATCCATAACGTAGCAGAAAACCAAACGTTATTTGTATCCTTTCACAAAAATAATAATTGCAATTTATATATAAGATTGATGTCAAATTACACAATCTTTATGAATCAAGTTGTTTTCTTAATCTGCTTCTTTTATGGTAATTTTGTAGCCTCCTGCTTCCTTTCTGGCAACTATGGAGGAATACATACGAGAAGCACCACAGGCAGGTTCCATGTCAAGTAGGAGGCTGGTGAGAACTGGAAAATACCCTGGATATACACTTTTGAGCTATCAACATTCTCTTTTTAGTTTTTTCCTATTTGATCACAAAAACAAACATAACTAAGATATTTAAAAACTTGTACTAGTATGACTTCGGTTGGTATTGATATTTGAACCTTTGCTCAAATGGTTTAGATCCATTAACAAGGAGTTTAGTAGGTAAAAGTAAAAGAGAGAATCCCAAGCTTTTAGAGAACTGAAATTGGGGCCACTTTATACACCAGTTTCATTTAAGAGAAGCAACCATTTTTAAGACCCCTCCGTAGAAATAAACCCTCAAAACTCCTATGTCAGTGACACCGCTGTATTTTCGTTTGGGAAGGAAAGGGTAACAACGTCCTTTCATATTAATTTTAATAAACTAGTGGCTACTTTTGCTCAGCATTAAAAATGCTGGATAAAAAGTAAATACCACTTTAAATAGTGGCTACCCCATACAATTTTTACGAAATTTGGGAGAAATTCAAAAATAGCTAGATTTACAAGTGGTCATTCAAAAATAGCCACAGTTTCAAAAAGTCATCGAAATTTAGTCACTTTTTATGTAAAGATAAATATGAACGAAAACACTGCTCAAAATCTGGAAAATACTCCAGCATAATATACTGGAATTCCTGTATAATATACTGGAGCCAGCAAAGTATATCGGTCCAGCATAATATGGTGGAAGTTTATACACAGGTGCACCGAACTCCAGTATATTACACTGGACCGGTCTCTGTTGCAGCAAAATAGTGGCTATTTTTCAATGACTTGGCAAACGCTGGCTATTTTTGAATGACCAGTCCGAAAACTGGCTAGCCCGTGCTATTTTAACGAGAAATTTCATAAGGTTATTTCTTCATCTATTGGGCTATTCATTTAGCCCATGCCCAATAACAAGAAGAAGAATTTTAAGGGATTTTTATACATAGATTGTATATTGACTAAATACAGTTACACACATATTATACATATATTATATATCTGTCAGCTTTTTTAGTGTAAGCGATTGGGTGGACGGCTTTTTTTTGTTTCCCATCCAGTATCTGCTACTTGCATTGGGACCCGACTAAATTCGGATTCAGGATGTCCTATATTAGAGGGTAAAGCGCTCCCTAGCAAAAGTGAATCCATGCCCGGGCTTGAACCCGAGACCTCTAGTTAAGGATGAAGGAGCACTTACCACTCTACCATAACCTTTATTGGTGGATGGACGGCTATTTTGGCTAATTCTTCAAGAATTAATCTTGTTAATCACACACTCAACTATTTAAAACTAACAAATAATTGGCGAATATATAATATGTATAATTCATATTTAATTTATGTAGTATGTGTATAATCATATATAGTCAATGCACAATTTATGTATATTAATTAGGAAAAGTAAATAATAAATCCGACCGACTATTTGTGTAAGAATCTCTTATGAGAATTAGTATTGTATATGGAGTGTTACAAGTGTTGCCTTTTATTAACAATGAAGTTTCAAACACTTTGTTTACTTTATATAGTTCTTATTCTATTTCAAATTCATAGCTGAAATGAATTGAGTGAATTCACGTTTAATCAACACACACCAAGTTAAAATATTGTTTCAAAAAATATTGAACCAATTACTGTTTATACTCTTTAGACTAAACAAGTCATAATTTTCTTGGGTATAATAATACGATATAAGAAGACGTTTGAGTACCTTGAGTTACAAAAAGTTTGTAAAAAATTGTAGCATATTATTTGTTCTGTCCAATTTTATGTGACAACTATTTTTCTTAGGTTGTCCCAAAAGGAATAATATTATCTATATTTAGGAGATATTTATTATTCCATTACTCTCATTGACATGACTTTTTGCGATCCAACTTGATATAAAATTGAATTTTATAGAAAAATTAAATTAAAAGTAACATGTCAAACTCTTATCAACTTTCATTTGTTGTAAATAGTAAGGTAATTTTGGTGCATTACTAATGCGTCAAAATCCTTTCTTATTTTTAAAGAACTTTTAATTATTAAAAACCATCATATATAATGAATAAATTATTTATCAAGTTGGTCAAGTTGGTGAAGTGTGAAAGAAAAGGCTAAGTGGCCGATAATAATAGTTAATTCTTCATAACAATAATGAGGTTTAGAGCTTAATTAATCCATTAATTAGACTATTGTACTATTTAAATGTGGCAAATTAACAATCATCACATCATGTTTAAAGATAAAAAATAATTTGATTGAGCTTAAGTTTTATATATTGATAAAGTGAAAAAATATTTATATAATTAGATCATTTGTAAGATAGTTAAAGATAACTAATTATAATAAAAATTAATAACCGAAAAATTGTAACCAACCTACTATAATATATTAAATATAACAATTTTATCTTATCAAGGTATGTACTTTAATTCCATTTTATTCTATGCATAGAAACTTTTGTTTAGTGCTCTTAGACTATCTTTAGAGAAGCTCTTTTGATATAAATTATATGATATTTGTTGCTTTTACATAGTTACATGATTGGTCCTTAATAGAGAATTTTATCATATAAGGAATTTAAATATTTCAGATAATACAAAAATGATTAGAGGGACAAAAGTATTTGCTCCTTTGAAGCTGGTGTTAATGGTGACACTAAGGGGTCGTTTGGTAGCCGTTTAGAGAGGAGTTAGAGCCTGTTTGGATTGACTTTTAAGCCGGTCAAACCAGCTTTTAAGTCATTTTTTAGCTTATTGAGGTGTTTGGCAAACTTAAAATATGCTTAAAGGTCAAATGCTTTTAAGCCAAAAAGTCCAAAATAAGCCAAAAGTGATAAGTTGGTAATCCCAACTTCTTTTTTTAAGCTTAAAAGCCACCCCTTTTTGACCAAGTATTTTACATTGTTATCCCTGATACTTATGTGTAATTCCCAAAATACCCCAATCTTTTCTTTTTCTCCTTTCCTACGCCATTTCCAATCTCTGCCTTCCAAATTCCATAATCTTTTCTTTTTCTCCTTTCCTCCGCCATTTTCAGTCTCTACCATCCAAATGAGTAAGCTCTCCTTTCTTGTTCTTTGTAGAGTTATCTATTTCTTTTCTTGTGGTGGGTGGTTTTGGGTGGGGAAGAATGATGCTTTAAATTGAGACAAAAGTTAATTTATATTTGAATTAAGTTTAAATTAATTTTAGTTAATAACATGCGTTTCTTCCGGTAAGCGTAAATACCTCTTACTTTCAAGAAAATAGAGTTTAGCAATCAGCTTGATTTGAGAATCTACACCTATTCATATATTTTGACCCCATGAAAAAACAAAGAAAGAAAAGATAGTACGAATTGATTTAGTCTTGATAGTTTCAAGGCATTTAAGTAATTTTACGGAAAAAGTGCTTATGAACATATTTTTTCCAAACACATCAACTGCTTATTTTCAGCTCCAGCACATTTATCCAAACACATAACTGCTCATTTAAAAATTAAGCTCAAGCACACAAAAAGTGCTTTTAAGCACTAGATGCTTAAAAGCTACTTAAATTAAGCCAACCCAAGCGGGCTCTTACTCATGTATTAAAATTAGGATAACTTTATACATTGTTTGGTTAAAAGAAGGGGAAAAATAATCTCCACATAGAAGCTAACATAAGTTTACAATGTTTGGTTCATGTTTTTCTTTTCCGCATATCTAATACATGTATAAGCTATGAGGGAATCTATGTATTATTTACGTAGGGTAGAAGGTGGAATAACTTATACATGTATTAGTAATACTTGTATTAAAACACAAAATGACAAGAATACCCTTTATTCAAACTTGTATTTTTTTGTTTAAAAAAGTATATTTAAACTATACTAACAATTTTAATAAAATAAAGTAAGCTAAAAATAAATAACACTTACATTACATTTATATTACTAATACTTATTTAACTACCGCATAACTAATCTCAACATAACTCAACCTTGCGTATCTTATCCCTCCATAACGAATACATACATAACTAATC